AGAATTCCAAATATTGTAGATTTTAGAGGGAAAAATGTGATATGGTGTATATGTTATTGAATCGAGCATTGATAGTTTTTTTTATATCTAGCAGATTGCTTTATTTCTAACCTGGGTCAGTACTTTATATTGGGACTTCTTCATCCTCATTTCATATGTGATCAACAGTTGTGAAGAGATATTCAATATATGGTGGATTTGTGAAATATATAGTGTTGTATCATACTGTATATTGAAAATGGATAGTTCTTAATTTACCATCTCCAGTAGTAGACTAATTTACCAATTTAGTTGGTTAACAATTCAGCTCATCAATACTAATATTATTAATTTGTCTCAAATGTTAATCTAGATATAATTATAAAGCTAGTTGGTCAACGATACCACTTTAAGGTTCATTTTTACTGGTTTAGCAAATCATCTTCTGATTTGGATATTTTCTTCTGATTTCTTCTTTGTGATTTTGTGGATGTTAATTCAAATTCAAAAAGATTTGATTTTATGGAAGAACTTCTACTAGAGAAGCATTGGCCTAATTCTCAAATGACCACGAAGGGCATCATGGAATAACTAAATAATAGTCTATATTAGATCAAGAAGGGAATTGATAGTTTATGACCAGACTATTATGAAATAATGTCACTTGGGTATAGATTTTGACACCTTGATATTGTATGAATATTAAAAGTTATAGTTAAGAAGGTTTATACGATAGAATAGTAAACCACCATCTGGAATGTATATCTAAATGGCAATATTTGATCACATTTTGCAGTATAGATTGCTCTATTGTGATTAAGTAATTAAGTAATCAAGCTGTGATGAACTCTGAACTGTCACAAAATTATTATTTAGTATTAATGCAAAAAACAATGTTAATGTCAAAAAATTTAACAGATAAGTCAATGAAATAGGATGCATCAAGTAGTGAAAGATGCCTCAAGAAATGCGTAACGTTAGTATTCTACTGTCTTTCTAGTTCAGGTCAGATATCAATGGAACCAGACAAATAAGGTTTTTATTTAGGATCAATTGGTTTTTATTGCCATGAGAGCTAAGAGCATCAAAATATTGGGCTTTAATATTGGTCATTAAGAAATTGAAGTCAATCTTTAGTCATTACCTATGTCATTCTGAAAGTTTGTATATATCAGTAATTCTATACATATAGGCTATTGAAACCATTGCATGTCCACTTTATCATTGCACAGGGAACTTAGTCAAGAATTGGAAAGGTCAATTTGAGTGAATAGTGATCTAATTAAGTCTGGTAGGATCATGTACTGTCTAACTATGCCACTTGCTCAACTTTCTTATTACAGAAATTGTACAGAACCTGCTGACTTGACAAGTTGACGCACTTTCAAAATTGTGGAATTGATCTAATTTATTATCATTTTAGGTCAAACTGTCTGAGTTAATCTTGTAAATGATTTTTTTTTTTTTAAATTAGACAATGTGACATGTCTTGAAGTATGAGAACTAGTCAGGTGACAAATGAATTAAATGTCATTCCAAGCCTCTCAAACCTTTTTACAGAAAGTATAAGCTTTCATGAAATGAATGAAAATTCCTTTTTTCCATGTGCATTTTCACTGCAAATGTCAAAGCATCAGGAAAATGATGAAATTATTCTGATGTGTTATTCTCTTAAATAAAGGATTTAACTTATTGATATGCTGATCATCAGCAAAATATAAACTAAAAGATACAAAGAGAAAAGTAGGATTCTACAAAATGTCAGCAATTATCGGATAATACAGGCATTATTCTGTTCAATAGCAAGTATGCTTGTGAAATAACAAGTTCATGCAAAATGTTAACAAAGTAAAATTTACATTCTATTCAATTGAACTAAAACTACTATATCTTAAACTCAGTATAGTTTGACCAAAACATAGGCAAAACTAGTCTGAAACATCAGCCTCTGATAGTTAGCTGAAAGTTGTCAGCTGGTGAAGAGACAGAAAAACTAGGCACTGTTTTGTGAGGATTTTCCCGCACCTCCAAAGGTGCAGGGGTTTAAACCCTCGTTATTTAAAACAGATCGCCAAACCCGTATATATTCGGAAAGATTGATTTTTGTAGTTCAGTCATACCATCATAATTCTGATTTATTGAAACTGATCTCGTCAGCCATTTAAAGCTGCATGGGCAGCCAAACATTCAAGTATCACATAATACTAACAAAACAAAAGTTACAGTGATGCCCAACACAAATTTAAATATCATTAGAAAGGTAATTTGATATTTTGTTAGAAAAAATGCATCTTCTGAAGGGTATCTATATCTCCATAAAACTGAGCTTAGTTTTTCTGACTCCAGCCAATAACTGTCTAAATATCTATCAGAGGCTGGATGTTTCGGACTAAGGAAAAATATAATGTTATTAGAAATCATCAAAATGTTTGAGCTGTTATCAAATCAGGCTGGTATCTACAGTTAAATCTCTCCAACTTGGAATTGAATCTTTCATTTGGATTACCAACAAGAAAAACAATATAGAATTGTAATTTACATTGTACAGGTATTAAATGGTGCAGGAATAACATTACCTAATATTTTGGTCTCTGGATAGAATTGAATCTTTAATATTAGTTTGACAAATATTCTGTTGAAAAACAAATACTTAAACATCTGCACGATACTGAATGATACAGGTATATCTGACATTTCGGTCTCTTCAATTAAGGATCACGAACGCGGTCAGTAAAAAACGTAACGAAGTTGATTGGGTTCATTAGATTGTGATCAATAATTGAGGAGTAGATTGAAGTATATTGGTTCCATTCAGACTTAAACACATCTTATATCTCTGGCTTACCATGGGACTGACACAAGCCGTATTCTACTCTAGACTTTAGTACAACTAGGGGGAATTTCTCTTAAACTGTGCTTGTTCTATTGTGCTTGTGGACTTTGATATTCTTGTTTTTGCTGAAAACCTGATAGTTTCTTCTGATGATTTATGTTGTGAATTCTAATTCAGGTGAATAAGATTAAGGTGAACTTTTCTCTTAGACTGTGCTTGTACCAACTTATGGACTTTATCTTGTATATTTTTGTTGTACCTGATAGTTTCTCTTTTATGATTTATATTGTATATGAGCTTCCTAATTCAGGTGAAACGATTATGAACGTTGGAATCAGGTGATATTTTTTTGTTATAATTGAATGATTATTATGATCTAATTTAACATTTTGTTGTTCTCTATTTTGTTGATATCATTGGAGAAAGTATACCTGACTATTTGATATTTTTCCTGAGAAAAAGATTATATAGGAATCTACTAAAAAGATAAATATAAGATTGCTTTTATTTCTTCATGAATAAGATTATCAGTAAAAATATGAGTAAAGTTTGTTTTGTGACAGAAGAGTTGAATTGTTATTTTATTTTAAGTGCACAATTTTTTTTTTTCTGAATTTTTATTAGTGTGAGATATCAAGTTATTTTCATGTAGAATTGTTTGTAGATAACATAGTTTTTCATAAAATTTCATAGATATTGGTGTTATATATGATTTAGGTGTATTGATGTTGCATTCATATGATAATTTGATTCAAGGCCTTATTTTTAAAATTGTAAAGTTTAATATAAAAGTTTTATCTTAAAGGAATATACAGAAGTTGTTTTTTAGTTCTACATGATGGCTTCTTATAAATTTTCAACATTAAATGTTAACATTGTTTTTGTGTTAGTAGGTTTCAAGCACTTCTGAATCAATTTTGACAATATAAGAAGTTTCCTATATAAATGAACCGAACATTGAATTTCTAGACAAAACCACCAGACAATGTGAATCAATATGTGCTTGGGATAATGTGAGGTTAAAAGATGTCATATCTGTGGTTTTATAGACATCGATATTACCCTCCCCGGTCAGAACCACGGCGTCCAGGGGCACGGGCTCTATCACAACACCGTCCTAGTGGTGTGGTAGGATTAAATGATGCTCGGGATACCATACCTCCTCCACCAAAGTGAGTATGATTTTTAGGGTAATTGAGAGAAAATCTACCTGTGCAAAAAGGTTGTTATAGATCTAATTCATTATGATTAACAGTTAATATTGTATATTTTAAAAATGTCAAGCTTGCTGAAAGTAAAAGACTTTTTGCTAAAGAATCATGAAATTCTGTATTATTACTTGATTCTTATTGCATCAACAATAACAAAACAACTTCAGAATTAGGTATACCATGTTTCCCCATGTAAAATTCTAGACTATCAGATAGTAGTATCAAATTTTCAAAAAGTTAAAGAAATACCAAAAAGACTGAATAACATCGCTATTTGTCAGAATATTTAATTTAATATCTACGTTAACAAAATAACATACATAGACTTATATACTACTGTTTGTTCCCTGATTACTATATATCAGAAATGAGTTTTACGTCCTACTTTTCTGCACCTGATTACTATATAGAACACAAGTGTAAAGATTATGTAATATTCAATATGAAAGTGTTAACTGTGTCTGTATCAATATAAATTAAGCCCACATAGTAATCTTTCACACATTTTAAAGGTTTAACTTTGTTAATTTAACATGTATCAATAACACATCAGTGAGGCAGAAATTACATTACACTTGTAGAATTTACATTATCTCTGTTTGAAATAACTAATAGGATTGAAATTACATATTGCTGTGAAAATTACACATATGAAAATTACAAATTTCTCAAATTTACACATACAAAAATTACATGTCTCTCAAAATTACACCTGTAGAAATAATACATCATGCTGACAAAAACTCTTGCAGAAATTATGTATTACTGAAAAAATTACATATTACTGTTATGACACATATCATTGAAAAACCTTTATGAAAATTTCAAATGTGTACATGTGATATTAATGTATTAAATTCTTATCTGAATTGAGCATCCATTAATTGAAGCTTACAAACAAATATTTTTTTATATTTTCTATGTAAATTTTTTATAAGGAATATAATTATTTATGTTCATGTATTGGTGTGTATTTCAGAGTGCATGTAGAGTTTTTTACCAATGAAAAATCCATCAAAGAGAGATTACAACTTTATTTTATTAAAAACCAACGATCTAGTAAGTTTCTTTTTATAAGTTTTATCCCTTAAGGCTAAGCAACAGTATTTTAGATTGCATTATGATGACTTTACTTTGTTAAATCTGGACAAAGATTTTTTAAAACTCTCTTATGCTGTCACAATGTGTTAGACAAACAAAACCATAAACTGTTGCTTGAAATGTCAAAAATTCCTTTTTCAACTTACTTTTGTACTTCCTTACAAACCTGTTAAACCTAGGGGTTCAATATTTTTATAATGGATGGTTGTTAATTGTCACATAAATGACACATGAATTTGGCTGGGAATGAGATGTAATATTATTCAAACTGAAGCCACAAAGGCTTTCGTTATTTATTTTTCATGAAACATCCTGTCTACCTAAAGCCATTCAAATGCAGCAACTTTATATTGTTGTCAACTTGTTTGGTTTTTCTATCTGCTTAACATAAAAACATGAATTATGTGATAATTTGTAATACTTTCTATCTTTCTGATATAGTTGTTGCCCCTGTCTGTCACTGATATAGTTGTTGCCCCTGTCTGTCACTGATATAGTTGTTGCCCCTGTCTGTCACTGATATAGTTGATGCCCCTGTCTGTCACTGATATAGTTGTTGCCCCTGTCTGTCACCGATATAGTTGATGCCCCTGTCTGTCACTGATATAGTTGTTGCCCCTGTCTGTCACCGATATAGTTGTTGCCCCTGTCTGTCACTGATATAGTTGTTGCCCCTGTCTGTCACCGATATAGTTGTTGCCCCTGTCTGTCAATGATATAGTTGTAATGAATGATGAATGTTATTTTTGCTATTGATGAAGAATTTATTAAATCTATTTCTGAATTTTTCAGGTTTACGTATTAGAACATTTAATTTAATAATAAAATTATTAACATGTATTTTGTATATGGTTCGTGTTTCTATGGACGACTCCTATTCCTGGTAAGTACACCATACCACCAATCCGCACCTGGGATTGTCAACTGTACATTCTATTTAAGGACTGTCTTGTCTGTCTTTCCCTAATGGATCACGCTCACATTGCTGTCACTCTTATATTTGGCATAGGAATTCTGCATCATTTAAGGAGTAGCCAATCCCTGTAGGTAGACCCATCACTATTGTTCAAAACTAGACAGAAGAACCTAAACGATTATATAAGTCAGTGAATTGTTTGAAAATTGTTGTGGTTTGACCATACTTATGATATTTTGCAGCGAATATGGAGTAAGACATTGTGTAAATGGTACGACCCACAGAAAAATAGACCCGGTTGATTTCCATGACAACCCTCAAATTAACTGGTTAGTTTTATTTGTCTCCTTTTAAAGTTAGACGCAGGAAATAGAAAAAAAATCTTAGACAGCTGATTAGATAAAGTTAAATTAGGTGAAAATTACCCTCTGTTCCAAATTTCATATCATAAATATTAATGACAAACTTAACAAAACTAGACAGTATTGGAAAGATGAAATTCTCTCTTTCAATATGAAATGTTTGACAACACAACCAAATATGTTTCATTACTTGACAATTTGGGTGAAGGTCTACTAAAGATGATTTCTGGAAAATTCTTTGTTTGTATATGATTAAGTTTAAAAGCAGTGTTTTAAAATATGTAGTTTATATAGAATATGATTAAAATCTTGTGTAATATATTGACTTTTCAGGGATGCTATTATTTGGGTTGATCGACATTTTGTGGTGTGGATCTGTCAAGTTACCGTGGCAATCATTAGTTTAGCAGAAACAATTTTAGTTCAATATTTAAGTTATAAGGTAACTGAGATTGTTTTTTGTGTAATAAAACCAGTGTTATATCCTGTTATTTTAGGTAATTAGTGTTGAATTCTCAGGAGTTCTCATCATCATTTTACAACTGCTCTTAAATCACATTTGATTGTTTGGATACACAATAACATGGTTGAACAAAATAACTGCATGAAATCTCTGAATTTTAAATTTAATAAAGGATAATATTGTTATTGTAGAAATTGTTTCTTTATCACAATATTACCTTTTTATGGGTATTACCTTCAGAATGAAATTGTTTTGGACAAAATTTGTTATTCTTGATAATGATAAAAGAGTTTATTGCATTTAGTGCCATTTCCTCGTTTATCATTGTCAGAATATAGTTTAAAAAATGTCACATTAACATGGAATAAAATGAAAATTGTAATATTTGAATTTAGACTATTGACAAAATGAAACATCCTACATTTCTTCACAAATTGGCTAATAAATAAGGGCAAGGTTCAATTTCCAACTGTTGAAGGATGTATAACTTGCACAGCCTGTAGCACACAGAGCCTTGGTTTATTGTCCCATCTGAGACGCTGTTCCATGTCAATTTTTGTAGCCTTCATTTTGAATACAATCTTCCTGGTAATATTATTTGATATATTTCAGGGTAATATTTTACAGCAGATTATATCTACAGAGTTTTTAGTAGAATTGGTAACTACCATACCAGTTATTTTTACTGTAAGTCACTTTAGAGATCCAGTATGGTCTCTTTTTTTCAATTTGAAAGTGTTTTGTTAAATCACACAATTTGTGACACAAATACAAACTAACTTTATTAGCCTGTATTAGCTTTACTAAACAGACACATCACATGACACATGGCACATTCTCAACCAAAAAGGTGCTGCCAAGCAACTACGACACTTGCCAGCCTGGGTCAGGTTCAGTTTGTACTATCTGATTTTTACCCAAGTTGAATAAAGGCTACATATTGTAATTGTGAAAGATGGCAAAATTTTCTTTTACACTGTTTATATTTTTACCCCAAATTAAATGACAAGTAGAAAAGTTGAATGTTATATTCTAGTTTGTGTATTATTCTGTATATATATTTTCAGTTATTTGAACCATTACGTAATTTATTTATACCAGTATTTTTCAACTGCTGGCTGGCCAAACAATCCATGCAGAAAATATTTGTAAGTTTTTATCTTTTCAAATTACTGCTTATCCTCCAGTTTTTTTTTTTACCATTGCCACCAGAATCTATACAGTAACCTGCAATTAAGAGCTGTCATAAATTCACTATATTTGGTGCTAACAATAGACATAAGAAAATTTTCAGTACCAGTAGCTGATAACAAGCCCTTTCAACTGTAAAAGAACATTAAGTATATGATATTTATGTATTGTCTTTTCAGAGTGATCTACATCGAGTGATGCAGAAGAATCAGTCAGCTCTGGCTCAACAATTATTAATACTTTGTGCTACTTTATTGTGCCTTGTTTTCATCAGGTAAGTTTCTATTATAAGTTTCGTAAATGCTCATTGACTTGAATGGGAAATCATAACGCAAAAATATAAATATGGATTAGGAAAAGACATTAAAGTGGGTGTGTGTGCCAGTAACATGCCAAAAGAGAGATGAATGTCTAAGCCCTATCTCCTTATATCAAATAAAATATTGATTTTTGCAAAAAATATCAATGAAGGGAGTTATCCTTGTTTTATGAAATTTCATTTGGTTAAATATACTGGTTCATAATCCCACTTTAAATTCTTAAATTAAACAACAACAGCTATCTGTTTCTGGACAATACAGCTTTTTCTGAAATTTTTATAAAAGAGAAGTAATTACATGAATTATCTCTAGATATAAAGTAATTCAAAGTAAAAAGGTAAAATTTAGCAATCAAATTTGAAATGTTATTAAAATGGTGTGAAGCAATTATGAAATCCATGAATTAAATCAAGATTCTAATCAGAAAATAGCAAGATTTAGTATGGGCTTTATTATATAATTGAACTCTAATATTGAACTTATTGTATGTCTTATTTTGGTTTGAAATTCAAATTGAATTCTTGAATTATATTCCCTTAAAGTAATTAGTGTTACGTGTATATTTGTTTGTTTTTTTTTTGGAAATAATTCTCAACAATTGATAAACTACTGATATGCTACTTTAAATATATTTTTGGAAATTTTAATGATGGGAAGAATGGTAGTTTTAGAACAAATTGTTCAGTCACTCAGCTGTAGTTGAGTATGGATAATCTTGGATCAAAGATCAATCCCAAAAGACTTGGCCAAGGACCAGCTGGTAGGCAGGATCCTCATGAACCTAAGTTGATATCCATGCACGTATTTGAAATGTTAACGAGTTGAAAATAACTCATTTTTAAGATTTAATTTGAACCGGAAAACATAAGATTTGCCATCAGGCGATGTAAACTAGGACGTTAAACTCTCATCTATTTTAAATTCACAGACAGTATTAAAACTATTGAGAGATACTGAGTAAAGTTTATTTATGATATAAGAGAATTATTGTGTATTATATTCTGATAAACAGTCTGACTTGAATCCATTATTCTTCTTTCTTCTCTAATCTAGAATTATAACTCTTTATCAACACTGTTACAGATACAGTATATTATAGTTTCCCATTAATTATATCAATACAGTTACTATAAATCTATCTGTCAACTAAATTTACTACTAGATTTGTAGATATCCTTTAAAAAGTGACCCTATTTGGAAAAGAATAAATATTTATAGCATTTGGCTTTTAAATTGCCTAAATAAAAAAAATAATCAATTCAGGGATATTTTTTGTATAATTTCAACTGAGTTTCAATCAATTCAAAAAGCTAAATTAATAATTGATTTGTAATTACTGAACAAGTAAATGACAAGAACAATACGATCATAAGTGAAACAAGTATCAGGAGTAGATTAGATTCTCAACAATAGCTGGGAAATCTGATTCTTTACTCGATTTTGTCCAACTTAAAATGGAAACATCACTGTTGACGTTGCCTCCAATTGATCACATTTGTCTTCAGTCTGTTTATATGTTAACATGAGCACTGTATACAATGTTAGATGGATTTCAGTCTAACTGAGCTATGAACTCCCTTCAAATTGTATAAGAATGGTCAAATTATACTTTCTAATGATTGACATACTTCCTCAAAAGTTCATTCGCTGCAACCAATGTTTTGTTGTTGGTGTTTGGATTTTGGGTTTCGCTAAGATGTTCGGATCATAGTACTTAGTTTATTTATTCAAAGTAAAAAAAAAAGAAAAATGATTTTGATTTCGGTTTGAATTCTAATTGTGTTGGATAAACAGATTTGTTAAATAGATCTAAATAGACCTATTATCGTTATTAACATTAACAAAGATGTTCCCCTTTTAGCACTTAATAGTGGTAGGACTGCTTGCAGTGGAACATAAGATGCAGAAAGATGTAAAACTTCATGAGTAGTTCAGCGAGGTCCAGAACATTATATAGAATATAAAACTCCCATTTCATTGTGTTTGCTTAGATACATGCAGACCTGTGTGATGTACATGATTTTGACCATGAGGTAAATAGCACAAGGATGTAAAAACTGTAGTAGCTAGTCAAGTACAAACTAGCAAGTAAAGATTCTGTTATTGACTGTTTAATAGCTGTATAAAGTAGAGGTCGATTAGAAAATGTTTTTAATTTTTGAGCATGATCAGTTAAATAAGAGTCGTTAAAATAAGTTGAGTAGAAGTTAATGTAGAGAATATTGTCATGTCAGGAAATCGTTGAGAAAAAACTCGTCTATTCAAGTGAAAGATTTAATGGTGGTATATACGAAAGATTGATTTTTATATCTGAAAGGGTCTTGACAATGAGTAACTGCAACATTATTAATGACTAATTGTTATATAGAGTTTTTTCAGGTACAATTAAACAACCTAAATCTTTTGTCTCCAGATTTTATATTCTATGGTTGCAGATAAATCTAATCGATAAATAGGTTTTAAGAAATGTGTTCATGATTAGAGTTCTCAAAAACAGACTTCTATTTAAAGGAATCTTAATATGATAAAAACTTTGCATTGCATTCTATCAAAGACACATGAAACAATAATCAATAAAAAAAATACAGATGAAAAACTTGAGTGAAATTTGATGTTTTTTCATCAGAAAAGAACATTTTTTTTGTGTCAAATGCCTACGCAAGCAGATTTGTCGATTTCTAGATCTTGAATTGATTCAACCAATCTCAAATTCTCTGTTGCAAAAAAGATTCATGTACTACAAAAGAGAAATTCTTCAATATTTACTGTTAAACATGAACTTTTATGGTCAACATTTAAAAGTGAACTATTGTCACGATGGGGTCACAATTATAATTAAAAAATATATAAAAAAATATTGAGTTAAATCAAATTGAAATATGCAGCAGAGTCAACAATGGAACAAGTCAGAATTAGGTTATGCTAAGTGGTTTTTTTTTTTAACAAATAATTACATCTTGCCTTACATAAGACTTCTGACAGTCACAGTCAATTTGGTTTTTTTTTTCAGTGCCTGTGGTATTCAACACTTACAGAGAGGGGGCAATCATCATTTTGGTGTGTTCGAATCATTCTGGTTAGTGGTAGTCACATTATCTACTGTTGGATATGGTGATGTTTACCCAGATATTTGGCCTAGTCAACTCTTCATGTTGGTGATGATCATTTGTGCCCTTGTTGTCTTGCCTACACAGGTGAGTTCCTGGATTTACTCCTGTTTCTTGTTTGGCTGAATCCAGATGTGGTATCCAACAGTATATCTATAAAAGCTGTGTGGCTGAATCAAGCTGTGGTGTCAAATTAGCAGATTGGGCACTGTCTTTTATAGTTGTCTTGTCAAGCTTGCTATCATATTGGCCAATGTCTTTTATAGCTGTTTGTATATACCAATCTGGCAAACAAACTTTGAGAGTTTTAATTAAAAAAAAGCCATTATAAAGCCAATCTAAGTCAAACTGCTTAATTACTAATTAGTAAGTTTTTAATAACAAATTCAGTTTGATCAAGTTGATACATGGATATAAATAACACATTGGAGAAATATTTTCGGGTATAATTTAAGATGTTTATAATATTGCATACTGCCCTTTAAAGTTGTTTGGCTGTTTTAAACTCTCTGTTAAACTAAGAATATTTTGTTTACTCTCTATTAAAGTTGTTTACTTGTACCAAGCTGTAATGTCAAACTGGCTAGCAGACTTTCTCTTTTGAGAGCTGGTATCTTGTTGTTTTCTTGTCTAATTTATTGATTTTTTAGTTTTTATTACATTAATTATGTAGTCTAACAATACCTACATACCCTTATATTTATCTTTCTGGAGTAAAATACATTACTTCTGACTGCAAAAAATTGTAACAGAAATTGTAAAAAGCAAATTACCTCTTTCATTTGTCTATCGAGACATTACAGTTATTTTTGGACCATTTCTGCCAATATTTGAATGTAAATGACTTTCTTTTTCACAAATTACAAATAAGTCAATCTTGTAATAATGGCATTTAACCACCTTTTAATCTATTTTATAATTAGTTACCGTGACAACCAATTTATTTTTATGTAAAACAAAGAAGATGTATATGAATATAATTGTATCTTATGACCTGGACTTTCTTCAATTAGACATTGACAAGACATCACATTTCTTTAATTATCAGTCAAGCAGAAGTATAATTTATCAGACGGAATGGAATGGAAATAGCCTTTTTAGTTTTTTGAATATACTTAACTCTTGATTTAACTAATTTCTGCCTTTATTTTACAATTTCTATTCTCAGATTGTCTAAAAACAAAACTTTTTTGACATTATTAGAATCGTTTCAAAGGACTTGTATAATCAAAGCTAAAGTCTCTGTCTCTGAGAAGATTGTTTTAATTCTGTAAAGTAAATTACCATAATTTTTCTTTAAAGCAAAAGTGTGTCTTTGATCAATTTAATTGCCAAACTGTTCTCTTTTTTTTAAAATATTTATATAAATAATTATTGTGCAACAGGAAATTGATGCTCTACATATAACCAACCTCAGAATTGTCATAATCATTTTGAATGAAAATAAACCCACATTTTAGGACATACAATAATCTAGTTGGCTACTAGAATCAGTTTAATTTAAGTTATATTTATTAACCAATCAGATGATGATCATAACACTTAAATCAAGTTTACATTTCATGAATTCATAGTTACCCATTTATTAATTCAAATTGTTTGTTATTTCTTTGAATTGTCTATGACAATAATTCAGTACATCAGTACTCAATTATGGAGCAGAAGAGTAAACCCAGTTCTTCTTTCAGAACCACGATGGCTTTCTTTATCTGTGGAATTGAATGAGTTATTATACTAGTAGATCTTATTGAAAAAACCCATTGTCTTGAAGACTAGATTTTTTTGTGCTTTACCATTGTTTTAAAACATTCATGAATTCATATTGATCTTTTTGTATCTCATATTCAGAGCCAGAATTTTTTTTTTTAATATTACCATTTCTTTCTGTTGTATTGCGTAATTTGTTCTTTGAATTATGAAATGTCAGGCTTGACATCAGATTGATCTGTTGGAGAGTAAATTGATCCACAGAAAATTTTCTAGAAATGAATGTCAAAGGAAATCATCAATTATGCATCTCTTATTGATATGAAATACAATACTTTTTCTAAATAGCAGAATCTTCAAACAGACCTGATGTATAATTGTACACTGTAACTGGAGTCAAAATATGAGGCCATAATTGTACACTCTTTAAATACACCAGACATCATCTTACACTTTGTCAGAAAGTGACCATTTGTTGTACAATTCTGTATTCTTTTCTGAAGTTTATTGTAATGTTCAGTTTAATTATACACCTTGTTATAGTTAGTAAAACTAATATTACATGATCACGTCTGATACATGCTGATCAAAACATCAATTCAGAAGACACAGTTTGTACAATGCAAAGAATTTTAATAGACCACGTTCTGAAGTAAAACCCTGACTTCTATTACTAACTACAGCTTTTTTTTTATACTGAAATGGGTTTATTTTCAATTTGGCAATAGTGACTTCATTGTGGTCAAGTTTTCCTGGAATCACAGCTATCACATAAGGGTACGAAATCAGAATGTTTCAAATAGAAGCAATGATACACATATATTTCTAATATATTACAGTTTGAACAGTTAGCATGTACATGGTTAGAACGTCAGAAATTGGGAGGTACATACAGTAGTCATCGTGCCCAGACAGAAAAACATGTTATAGTAGTTACTACTACTCTACAGTCTGATACTATCATGGACTTTCTAAATGAATTCTACGCTCATCCCATGCTGCAGGTTTGTTGATTTAAGAATTTTTAGCACTTTAAGACACACTTTCATTGACCCTTGTCAGTCAATCCAGTTTAAACTTTCTGTTTTTTTGACTGTCACTTGTCTTTGTCCTTCCAAAGATAGTTAATGGACTCATTTTATGCCTAATCCCTTGATTTTATTGGACATATCATTTAATTGTGATTTGCATCAGTACATGTCAGTTTTCTCCTTGTGATTAAATCTCTGATGTCCCTATGGAAGACTTCTTAACTCACTTGTAACTCAAAAACATGATTTTACAAGATGTGTTAATTGTAATTTTGATGAGGTTGTACTTTGTTTATTTACAGGACTATTTTGTTGTGTTATTATCACCATGTGAATTAGATCCCACTATGAAGATGTTGTTACAAGTTCCTCTCTGGGCTCAACGTGTTATTTATGTTCAAGGTTCAGCTTTAAAAGATGCTGATTTGGCACGGTGCAGGTAATTACACATTTTAAACCACCAACCTTCACAGAACTTTTATCTAAGAAGTAAATTTGGCATAACTTTGGTATCTATACCATTAATGAGTCTATCCAGAAATTACCAGATTTTCTACATTGTCCTTGTGGCAGTACCTCAATAGTATCAAGAATGGTTTTTCTTTTCTTCCTGGTACTAAGAGTCTTGAATGTTCTGTAGCTTCACATATATAAGACTTCCAGATTGATTGTTAACTTTTATTTAATTACAGAGCTCAAGATGCTGAAGCCTGTTTTATTCTGGCAGCTAGAAACTATGCTGATAAAACAGCAGCAGTAAGTTTCATTTATCATTCATAGCCCTTATAGTTAATGAAATTAAAATGTTGATGAAACAAGCATCCTGTTTTGTCATTGAATTCATAACAAAGTATCATACAAGAATTCAATAATTGAGTGATTAAATAAAATGCATGACTGCCACACTATTCTGGGCTAATCTTGTGTTCATTTTTTTTCTGTTCTGATGCGCTATCAACAAACATATCAAATTTATAATAATCAGATATTTAATTTATTTCAGGATCAACATACTATATTACGATCCTGGGCTATAAAAGATTTCTCACCAAAATGTCCACTTTATGTTCAAATATTCCGCCCTGAAAATAAATTCCATGTCAAATTTGCTGGTGAGATGAATTATTCTGTTTGCTAATTTTTAAGAAGGGCTCATCTCTCTTATTTTAATTAGATGTGTCTGTGTACATTCGATCTCTGGTATATTTTATTACATACATCTTGAGTTATTCAATTGAAAATACAATTATTGCTTTCTTTTATTGTGGTAGTAAACTATGCTGTAAGTATTTCTCCAGACATTTGACAACTAAATGTCTTGATCAGGGTTATAGCTGCCCAGGATATAGTGATTACCATCCAGCTTGGTTTCAAGGGACTGCTAAAGGACCCCTGGTGGAGATAACATCTTTTGCCAGCAAGCTGATATGATTTTTAACAATTGTCCACATCAAAAATCTCTCTTCTTTTTTGTTTGATAACTGGAAATAAAGTCAAGAAATATCATGTATTTTGTATTTTCTAATCATAGATCATGTAGTATGTGAAGATGAGTTTAAATATGCCTTGTTGGCTAATAATTGTTTGTGTCCAGGAACATCAACATTAGTTACTCTCTTATTACATACATCTCGTGGACAGTAAGTAGATTTTATCATAATGTGGTCGTATATTGTTGTCGCATCGCATTGGATTGTGAACACAATAGAGACTACAGTTTTTATCTGATTTTAATGAAATTTGGTGTGATCATTTATATTGATGAGATCATGGACATGTTCAAATTTGATGATCTTTCAATGAATGTTTTTTGAGTTATTACCCTTGACTTATGAAAACGCATCAAAATTTGTTAGCTTGTAAACACGATAGAGGTGACAGTTTATGTCAGAATTTTATTAAATTTTCTGTGTTTGTTTAAATAATATCTTACATAAATTAGATTTTTGGTTTGACTTGACACAGATTGGTGACCACCTTAGATATTCTGAGAATTTATCAGGAAAGAGGGCATATCATGCTAGGCAACCACTTGTATAGTATCAGGATAAGAGATAAATACAGAACAGTAAAGTACGTGACAATATTTAATCTGAATTTGAATTACAAACAGTTTCAAAATCTTTAGGTGAAAATATCTTCTTAATTGTCCAAATGGATTTGTTTTTGATGGATAATTTAATTTTTTTTGATTGATACTCGCATATTGTAGAGAAGGACAGATGTCAGGTGATGAATGGCAGAGATTATATGGAAGATGTTCAGGAAATGAAATCTATCATATACGTTGTGGGGAAAGTAAATTTTTTGGAGAATATATCGGAAAGAGTTTTACATACGCATCATTCCATGCCCATAGAAAGTAAGTTGATGACAAATGTATTTAACTTCTTTGGACTTCTTGAATTTGCCTACTTCAGAAAAAGTGAAACCACATTTGAATTTGATCTTAAGTAATAATATTGAGGTAGATGTTGCTAGAAACTCTATGAAAACAGAAAATCTGTAAAATACCATTTCCTAGTGGTTTAAGCAATGACCATCTGGTAGACAGGATATAGTCTTAAGCTTTCTTAGTTGTGTAACTAAAAGTTTCTTATTGTTACAGATGTTGTCCTCTTTTCCAGATATGGTGTCAGTTTGGTAGGTGTACAGAAAGATGTAATAGGATCCACTATTCAACTGAATCCTGGTCCAAGACATATCATGAGGAAGTCAGATTGCTGTTTTTATATGAATTTAACAAAGGAAGAGAATTCAGCATTTATATTGGCACATCCAAACCAAGAAAATAACAACAGTCAACCTAGACTACCCACAGGTACAGAACCGCCTTCTAGGGTAGCTAGCATGATAGCAAGTATAGGTAGGTTTATAAATAGTCAGCCTGGACTAGACTACCCATTGGTACAGAACCGCCTTCTAGGGTAGCTAGCATGATAGCAAGTATAGGTAGGTTTATAAATAGTCAGCCTGAACTAGACTACCCACAGGTACAGAACCGCCTTCTAGGGTAGCTAGCATGATAGCAAGTATAGGTAGGTTTATAAATAGTCAGCCTGAACTAGACTACCCACAGGTACAGAACCGCCTTCTAGGGTAGCTAGCATGATAGCAAGTATAGGTAGGTTTATAAATAGTCAGCCTGGACTAGACTACCCATTGGTACAGAACCGCCTTGTCGGGTACCTAGCATGATAGCAAGTATAGGTAGGTTTATAAATAGTCAGCCTGGACTAGACTACCCATTGGTACAGAACCGCCTTGTCGGGTAGCTAGCATGATAGCAAGTATAGGTAGGTTTATAAATAGTCAGCCTGGACTAGACTACCCATTGGTACAGAACCGCCTTGTCGGGTAGCTAGCATGATAGCAAGTATAGGTAGGTTAAATAGTGGTCAGTCTGGACATGAATACCTATTGGTACAATACCACCATCCAGGGTAGCTATCATGATACTAGTATAGGCAGGTTTAAAAATAGACAGCCTGGACAAGAATACATGTTGGTACAGAACCGCCTTGCCGGATAGCTAACATGATAGCTATTATAGGTAGGTATTTTTTTATAGACAGCCTGGACTAGATACAGTACCACCTTCCAGGTAGCTAACATGATAGCAAGTATAGGTAGGTTCAATATTATATTAGGCTGATCTAGTCCTTCTAATTTCAGTAAATATGATATATGTAGTATTTTGTTATTTGATGTTAATGCTACTTGTGAATGTTGTTACAGTATTATTGTAAACTATACGGGAATGAAAATCCCTTCCAATGTAGCTGGTGAAGAAGCATGATTTATGTTAGCCTTAGAAAATAAAAACAATGATATGGATGTACTACTTCTTCCTTTAAGTTTAGCAACGTTTCAATTTACATACAGGAATCTTTATCGTAATTGTTTATGGTTACAAAATAAGAAATATAGGAAGAAGCAGTATATTCATATTAGTGTTTTGTTTATCAAATGTTACATCTATTTCTAAATGTCATTTTAAGAGTATGTTATCTATTATCAGTCCTCTATTTCTAAATGTCATTTAAAGTGTATGTTATCTATTATCAGTCCTCTATTTCTTAATGTCATTTAAAGTGTATGTTATCTATTATCAGTCCTCTATTTCTAAATGTCATTTTAAGAGTATGTTATCTATTATCAGTCCTCTATTTCTTAATGTCATTTAAAGAGTATGTTATCTATTATCAGTCCTCTATTTCTAAATGTCATTTAAAGAGTATGTTATCTATTATCAGTCCTCTATTTCTAAATGTCATTTAAAGAGTATGTTATCTATTATCAGTCCTCTATTTCTAAATGTCATTTAAAGAGTATGTTATCTATTATCAGTCCTCTATTTCTAAATTTCATTTAAAGAGTATGTTATCTATTATCAGTCCTCTATTTCTAAATGTCATTTAAAGAGTATGTTATCTATTATCAGTCCTCTATTTCTAAATGTCATTTAAATAGTATGCTATCTATTATCAGTCCTCTATTTCTAAATTTCATTTAAAGAGTATGTTATCTATTATCAGTCCTCTATTTCTAAATGTCATTTAAAGAGTATGTTATCTATTACTGTTAGGTTATCCCCAGGGAGTATATGAATGTGGAGGGAAGGCATGTTCGATACCTCCTACTTTATTTTATACCTCAATCAAAGTGTCCCTTCAAACCTTGTGAAGCTATATATACCATTAGTAAGCACAGAAATTAAATACTTTGGTAAGCTAAATGAACTCAACAAAATAATTGATCAGATTAGTGATTGGTTTTGGATATTCTTCAAAACACAAGCAACTATCCTTTTAATGCCTTTTGCTATTTTTAGGTACTGTAGCTTTAGAACTACAGCACACCAGAATGATAAGTAGTGATAGTGATATAGAAAGACAAGGTAGTAAACGCACCCATCTCAACTTACCCAAAGGTTTAAATATACAGAGTTTACAGAAGCGACCTAGTATTGCCCCGGTACCAGCTGTATTAGAAACTAATGATGTTAGTATTAATATACTAGCTGATAATCAGTCTGATTCTGATGATGATGATGATGCTAGCTCTATAGATAGTGATGACAGTTCGAATCCTGAGTAAGTAATAATGATAATAATACTATACCAGTAGGTAAAGCAGTGAATGCCATTCCTCCAACTCATTTGCCAAAAGGGATATAGCTATTGTTACTTCTTTCTTCACCAGCTTAACTTTCAGCTATCTATTCCATTCAGCTATTCTCTTACTGGGTGATGACTACTATGATGATTCTCAATGACAGCTATTAGGAATTGCATTTTATGATACAAAATGATGATTCAATTACTGAAATTGAAATACATGTATTAAAAATATTTGAATGTTGAAAGTAAACATTTTGTGTTTTATTGTAGATATGTACGAGGTTTCCCTCCAGTTACACCATATGTTGGTACAAGTCCTACCCTCTGTCATCTGTCTCGTGAAAAACGTAGTTTATGTTGTCTGGAACTCTGCCAGGTAATAACAAGAACATTTTCTATTTTATGACTTGACCTGGCATTGATACCTTTAACTACTGTTTATACCCAGTTTTATTTCAGTAAAAAATCAATTTATTGATTATCTTTTATCTCTTATATCTCTTCCATTAGCCTAGCAATATACAGAATTTTAAGATGAATAACGTCCATTTATTTCAAATTCAAATTTAATTTCATCACAAAGTACTTTCTGTCTGTTCTTCAAACAATTTTTATGGGAATGTCTATTTCAAGAAAACTTTGATATTATGTTATTTCCACTTTTTCTTTTAAACTGTGATATATTTTGATATATTTACTTTATAAAGATATACTCAATTCATTTCATCATTTTTCTCTTGTAGAAATGTGATCATTGTAATTATACAAGTGCCAAAGAATATTGTTGGAGTTCACGTATTATAATTGTAGCTGCTGATTATGCTAGTAATGGTTTATATAATTTTATTGTACCATTACGATCTCATGCTAGAGAATCTGACTCTCTCAATCCTATAGTTTTACTATTTGAACAAAAGTAAGTACAAATTTAATATTATGTACAGCCAATATTGGAATCACTAGGGTAGTTGATATTGCTATATTTCTTAAAGAGCCGCCAATTTTTTTGTAAATGATTTTGATTTATAAACATATGATTTTCACAAATTTGCATAGATCATAGATTTATATTGTATTATTATCTACATTCTTATAATTGTATTTATTTCAGGCCTGATATTGGTTTTCTAGAGACTATTTGTTATTTTCCTATGATTTACTGGATGTTGGGGTCTATAGACTGGTAGATATTTTTTACATATTGTTATGTTATATTTTTTGCATTATCATGCTGTTGTTGTTGTTTTTCAGTTTATCTGATCTGTTAAAAGCTAAATTCAAACTCACTGATAATGATTTTTTTTTCAGTTTATCTGATCTGTTAAAAGCTAAAAATCAACCTTGTTGATAATGATGTTGTTGTTTTTCAGTTTATCGGATCTGTTAAAAGCTAAAATCAACCTTGCTGATAATGATGTTGTTGTTTTTCAGTTTATCGGATCTGTTACGAGCTGGAATCAACCTTGCTGATAATGTGGTTGTTGTAAATAAAGAAAGTTCCAATTCAGCAGAAGAAGATACTCTGTCTGATTGTAATACAATTGTCTCTGTTCAAACTATATTTAGGTAAGTTTATAATTTGTTTGATTTTTCATAATGTTAAGTTTCAGTTTAAGTCATTATTAAATAGTCAAAACTTCCATCGAAAGTATTCACAGTATGCAAAGTTATCATTATAATATGATATTTTATCTATTCCAGATTATTTCCCAATGCCAACATAATAACAGAATTAACTCAGTCATCTAATATGAGATTCATGCAGTTCCGGGCACATGATCTGGTGGCTCTAGCTATTTCCAAACTAGAGAAGGTTGGTATGGAATGAATTCTAATTGGAGTTGAATCCAGTTGAACCACATTTGCTGCAGTTTTTTGGGGTTTTTATAATATATGAATTATACTTATCACATCTAATATGTCATGTCTGAAATATGGGGTAGGGCAAGAAATATTGGTCTAATATGTCAAATTGTAGATTTATATTCTTAAAATTCAGTAACTGTAATTCCTTTGAATATGTTAATGTTACTTGTCACCCTGTATTATGGACGGAATATTTTATGATTTCAGAAAGAAAGACAACGAGGTTCCCATATCTATTATATGTTCCGACTACCATTTGCCGCTGGTAATGTGTTTAGTGCCAGTATGTTGGATACCTTGTTATATCAGGTAGGTTGCAGTGACTGACTTGGGGGGAGGGGCTGGCATGTGATGCAGGGACTGGCTTGTTGTAGAGGTACTGGCTAGTGGTGGGGGGGACTGCCTTGGAGGGACTGGCTTGTTGTAGAGGGACTGGCTTGTTGTGGGGGACTGCCTTGGAGGGACTGGCTTGTTGTAGAGGGACTGGCTTGTTGTGGGGGTACTGCCTTGGAGGGACTGGCTTGTTGTAGAGGGACTGGCTTGTTATGGAGAGACTCGCTAGTGGTGCAGGGACTGGCTTGTGGTAGAGGGACTGGCTTGTGTTGGAGGGACATGTTTGTGGGGGAGAGACTGGCTTGTGCTTGTGATAGGAGTGACTGGCTTGTGATAGGAGGGACTGGCTTGTGGTGTAAGGAATGGCTAGATGTACAATGGAAGTAGTTGATTGTTGTACAATCACTGACTCACAATCATTTAATCACAACTATTTATCAATTAAATTGTTTTTTACAGGCGTTTGTCAAAGATTATTTAATAACATTTGTAAGATTATTACTAGGAATAGACCAAGCTGTTGGTTCTGGACACCTTTCTTGTGTAAGTTTTTCATGTACTTTAGTTATATATATCATATCTTGAATGTAGCCATCTGTAAATAGAAGCGACTTTATTGTGATATGATTTGACAAGATTTATATTGATATATTTGAAATTATACTTGACAAAAAGCACATTAAAAGACACGTCGAGACAATGGTTCCGGATCCACAGAATAAAGAATAAAAGAATATTCCTGCAACTTTTAGAAATTAGAAATGGAAATGTTTGTCTTTATATAAAGAAAAATTAGCCTGGGTTTGAGAATTTTTTAAATTTAGAAAGAATAAATAATTATAGATGAAGATCACCAAAGAAGATCTGTGGATTCGAACGTATGGTAGATTGTATCAGAAACTATGTTCTACCACATGTGAGATACCTATAGGTATATATAGAACCCAGAATCAACATTGTCCTGAATTGTCTTCGGTATGTTTACTGTACTTTACTATATTCTATATTTAATGATCAGATGTTCACAGTCTCTTTATATTCTGACTGCCAAGTAGTCACTAATTTGATTAAGTTCATTTAGTTTAAAAGTAACTGATGCACAAATCATTTATATCCCCCAATATATTAAGGCCTGTTATTGAGGTCTAAGTCGGTTAAGTCATTTTCATGAACAGATTGTGGGCACTGATACTGTTTAACTTAAAGCTAGTTTTGGAATTTCTCACCTGCAAAGTTTACAGGGTTTATGGTGCTGCAGAGCTTTTAGGCATAGCTCCTCATTCTTTGTCTTGCTTAGATTAGTTCCTCGCATGAAACAATGCCAATGAATTTCTGATTTTAGTAATTTAGCTAGACAAAATCCATTCATTTTTTAAATACCCTCAAATCATTTCATACATTCATTTTGTAGAATAAAAAATCTTCATCTAATAGGCTTGCTAAAGCAGTGAGTATTCTGAGTGAAACAGAATTGCCCCCTTCCCTTCACCCTGACACTTGGCCCCAGAGTTAACCTGATGGCAACTCTCACCCCTTCACCTATCATTTTATCACACTCTCACTCTCACTTGTCCATCTTCAACTTTAGGCTCAGACAAAATCCTCAAATAACATACTATAGGCATATGTAATATATCATTCTTCAATTTTAAGAGTGAATTCTGGTAAAAGTCTTGTTCATTTAAAGTGACATCTGTGCTTAGTCAGGGCTGTATCTTCATATAGGACAATGAGGCAAATTTGCTTCATGTCGAATTTGACCTGTAAAAGATTTTGTTTGAAATTAGGAGCATAAATGTAAAACGTGAATTTGATATATATGGTTAAGGTTGTTAACGTTTAGCAAAAAAGTTGTGATGACTTCTAAGATAACTGAATTTTTGCCTCAAAATTATAGCCCTGTTGGTTATTTCAAGCAAATGTTGGTCATGAGTTTTAATCCAGTCATGTGTTCTAGTCGACTCAGTAAATGGGTACATACAGATAATCAGGAAAGATCAGCTGGTAGAGAGGATCATTTTGAACCTAAGTAGTTATCCTTGTTAAACATGGGTGTTTTTTCTTTCTTGCATGAAAAGAGCTTTTGATGCTCAATAAAAATACTCATCACTAGCATTAAATTGTACTTCCTTTCCATGAAGGAGGCAGTGAAAAAAGCATCTTGTAGGTCGATATTGTCTGAGCCTACATCACTAATTTAAAATATTGCAGATCACAATTAAAACTAGCTTTACTGAAATTGTTCCTCAAATTCACCTGATTTGACAGATTGATGTATTTTTCTCACAAGCTTGCTGAAAGTCTTTACCTTGCTTACTTTTTAAACCTTGCTAGAATTTTTTTTTCTCAGATATTTGCGTTCATTTCTCTTGAAAATATTAATCATTCTTACGAAATTCCTCAAAAAAGAAAATAATGTTTGATCTACATTGGAATAAAAGTTCTGATTTTTTTATTCACAATTAATTGAATAATATAATGGAGTTATTTCCCCTGCAATACTGCTTTACGTAATTAACTTCAAGTGCCTTTCTTTCTTGTGAAAATTGGTTTCATTTCTTATTAAACTGATGTGTATATTTATATAAAATAATGTACTATTTAATCAAATTTTAACGATAAAAATTCTGGACCAAAGATGATATTATCTACATACACCTTCATTTCAACACACCTTTCATTGTCATTCATTCATATCACTCATTCGAACTTTATCACCCCTTACTAATAGATTTATTTATGTGATAACCTAGACTACATCCCTATCCAGAGACCAATCTGCGCTAAATGTAGCGTTTAGAAATTCCTTTGTAAGTATAGCTGGTAGACTTGATCAACTAGTAATGTATCCTACTACCTCTTCATTCTTAGTCATTGTCCATCTTAAGTTTTGACTATTTTCTGATAATAGGAATGATTAACTCAAACAATTTTCTCTCAAACAAAAATTATAAATGTGTATTAGCGGATTGGTTCTGAGTTTTTCTTAAACTCAAAGAGATCTTAACCATCCTTCTGACTTTAACTGATTATATATTGGTAAGAATTTGAAATTTATATTCTCTGGTTTTCCAGACTTTATACATCATCATACATTTTTGCGTAACACTTTTGGTCTAAACTGACCATATTTTGAATGGAACCAATCACAATGTTTTTGTCATAACAGCAGATATTTTATCGAATGTATGATGATTATGAAGTTGTCTATTTAAATTGTACCTTACAGTAAAGCACAACTTTAACTTTCACAGCACCTGTTTCAATATTTAGCTCATTTGACTCTTCTGCATACTTTATAAATTCCTAGTATCTCTGTTTAAATAATATTATATAACAGCAATTCAATGATTTTTCTTTACTATAACCATTATTACTGAGATGATGATTAAAAAAAAAGCCCTATCCACATTCATTTCTCAAGTATAGAGATTGTGTACAGATGCCATGACAATTTAGGCTTAGGATGTATCAAGGAGGTGTACAGTTCATACAGAATGAATGTACATCTTGTAGACAGTTATACAAAAACATTACTTGGTAAGCTTTTCACATGATAAAGCTGTATCATTATACCAACATCCACTTACATTCATTAGTTGAAAAGTGAAAAGAAATATCAAATATTAGTTTGAGGCAAGAGATGAAATAAAGTTGAATATTCAAGACAACCTCTCAAAGGCAGTGACATGCTTCCAAAAGTAACAATACCTTGATCTTTGGATCAGCTGTTTGGCATCTGTAACAGACTTTAACTATAGTAATTGAAACTGTTGCTTATATCTTTTGCAGAATTTAATTAACATTACAAGATTTTAGCATTTTCTCCACTTTGATTCTAACGTTATTTTTATTAACCAAGGACATAGTCATTCTCAAAATCTGAGGTTACGTTTTCAAGAATAAGACCTCAGATCATAAATTCTCCAGTTTATTACTAAGTACCGTAAGTTATATTTTCAGGCATCATTAAGTCTAGGTGCTGAACCTGATGACATTATGAATATGAATGGTGCTAACCTAACACCAGAGAGGCAGGAGATTATTCAGATGGTAAAGTGTAGAATGCAAAGTCAAGGTTTGCCTCTTGATGAATATGGTAGGTAGAGTCCACTACTATACAATTATTACTCCCCAGTTTGTCATACTATGGATGAGATTTCTGGTAAATGGAATTGTTTTGCTTGTTCAGATTTTTATCATTTGTTTAGGTTCAAACCAATTCAAATAATTTCAAGATTAAGAAACTCTGTCTAATACCTTTTAAGATTAATTGCAATATGGTTAGTTTTTTTCTGTTGTTCATGATAACCAGACTGCTAGGAAGGCTTAATTGTCAATTATAAGGGAATAATTGAATCAAATCATAGTATTTATTACTGTATTTAACCAAGTAGTTATCATGTACATTAATCAAGCAGAAAAATGACCTTTAGAGTTGAAATTAACATGATATGAAAAGCTTTCTGTTCTGATTATGTCCTGCGGTCAGTATTTGATTTAATGAGAGACCACAATATAATGATGTGGACAGGATTTTCTAGTGGTCATTTAGGGTCATGAACTCTTCTTTATTTAGGTGAACTAGGGTTACATTGTGGAGAACTAGTTCTATCACAGATTGTTGGTAATGACATAGCTAAGTCACAAGAACATATACATCAGTCTAGATAACATGATAGAAAAATGTTAAGATATTTGTCAGTAGATCCAAAAACATAACCAAATTCCTTACATATTTGAAGAGGAATAGTTGTAAAAGTCTGTTTGATAACCCACAATTTTGAATTTTGTGAAATTCTTTTTGTTTGCTATATGCCTAATAGAAAGATTCTGTTAATAAGTAAAAGTAAAACTAAAAATCTGAAGCACCGATTTTAAATCAGATCAACAGTCTATGACAACATCTAGAGAGTAGGATCAATCTAACCCAGACAGCTTATTCTCTGCAGAATGAGAGTTGAAGATGCAAGTTTAGCTCCTTGATTGCCAGACTATAGAAGTCAGTTTAATTAATGAATTCTAGAAAATTACTGAAAAATTTAATAAATAAAACTGCCAGGCTTGCTTTAATTCACAATCTAAATTACAGTCTGTTATTTTACATGATGATAAAACAGTCATGAAAAGTAATACACAATAATTCAATTATTTTGAATATAAACTCAGAATTTTATTTTTTGATATCATCATGTAAATATTATGTATTGTGATTATTGATAAAATTAAGTGTGCATTGTAGATTAATATTCTATTGATAAAGATAATATAAGATCTCAAAGATTTAGGATATGTACAAGGCATTATTACATTTCAAAGCATATACTGTTTAATATACAATATATCATCAGATGAAATAAAGAAGTGTTGTAATATTATATATATTGTAGATGAATCCAGTGATAAAAGAACATCAGTATCCTATGCTATTATTAATCCTAACTATGATCTGAAACTGGAGTTAGGAGACGTAGTGTAAGTATTAATCAAGGCTGTTGATTTAATACTATTAACAAAATAGAAATAAAGACTGCAGTAATTATATCTAATAAGCATGAAGAATTAAAAGACTTCATTATGGAAAAGCACTTTCAAACAATTTTCTCAGGAAATCTTTAAGGTTAATGTCGTCATATATTAAGCAATGTATGATGTATTTAATTTTGTCATTATTTTAGAGAAAAAGATTCGCCTTTTCTTTTCAGGTACTTAATACGACCAAGTTCTCTTTCACCTCAACCCTCCCCCCTGATGGATGAGCGTAGATTATTACAAGAGAAAGAACAGACACAGGAGAGTTTACGTGAATTTTCCTCAAACAACCAATCAGAACACTCAGATTTAGCCAATGGTAGAACGCCATCTAGTGGTAATCCATCTCAGAGTACAGATGATATTAATAAGGGAAGCCGGGTAGGTGTCAAACAGTTAACATAATAACCACTATTATTATCTCCCTTGAAAATGAATAATATTAATGACCTATATTTTATCAAAACAATTTCATTTCTTTTTAAGTAACTCGAAAGTGGCATGCTTTGAATTTCAGACCTTCATCAAGAAAATTAATACTTTTCATACAAAATATCTCATTTGAAATACATACGTTTGGATCATCTAGAAAAATGTAATATTTCACCTAATTACCTGCCTTGAACTGTTTTTGACCTACATTTAGGAGATTTTTTTTTATCTCAATATTATCTCCCTTGAAGTTTATTCATATCATTATGTCTATAGCTGTTGATCATGTAAAGTGTGTATGGAACTCACCACAATCATACTTCAATCTAATTTCAGATCCCTGTGATATATTATGATAGTGAAGAAGAGATAAATAAACTGTCCAATCCAGCTCAGTTAGATATTGTACCTAGTATTCAGGTTGATCGTGGTACGCCAGATTACACAGAGGATATAAAATATATAGACACCTCATCACCAGAGGCAGATATACAACCATTTCAACAATCTTCACCAGCATGATGGTAATATTAGTTACCTGAAAAATGTTTTCAGTTGAAATATTCGGTGAGCAAAAAGCGACATAAAGCTGAGTCATCTGGTGGAAATATTTGACTCTAGAGCTGTATCCAAAATTTGGAGGTTTGAAGACATATTTACATTAAGTGGAGAATCAGTATTTTAATTTCACAGCACTAAGCTTCCAAAACTCTTTCCATCTGATTGATTTTTTACACAGTTTGATTTTTGACATCTTACTATTAACTAATTCATCATCAACACTAATGAGATGTTGACATTTTGACAAATAAGAAAGGCAACACAATGCCATAAATGACAGGTAAAGATTGTTTGCAGTAAAATTATGTGTGTGGCCTACCATTGATTAGGATAAAAAGTACCCTTCATTCAGTTCCTGTGAAAAAATCTCCGTGTTTTGCATTGATGTATGGCAATCATACCAGTCTGTTAAGTTCTTTGTGATACATACATGAGAGTTCAATATCAGGTCTGAGGCTGATATTCACATGATGACTTAAATGGTATAGAAGTCATAGCCATAATAGAATAGAAATTATGGCGTAAAGTTGGTTTGCTGTGGTGGAATTCCTTTTTAAGAATACTGAAAATTGAGTTATATTCTTCTATGTAGTTCAAGGATACTGACAACTTTTGCTGGCAATTTAAATACATTGAGCTTAAAACCTTGTTATAAAGGTGTGGCCTAATAGGGCATTTTTTTATATCTTGTGTATGTTTTGAGCTTTGCTTGCAAGAAAGTGACATAAGATAAAGTATATTTATATGAAATTTCTGTTACAAATCAATTTAATACATTTTCTAACCTCACAAACTTTCACAAATGTTATTGTTTGGTTTACAATGGAATTGTAATTGCAGCGCTAACTGTGTACAATTTGATCTGGATTTCTCTAATGTGAGATTCCATGCAGATCTCTTTACATTTTTTATTTTTGTGGTATGTGGTTTCTGTTGGCAGGCAGATGTGCATAAATTTAAAGTTATTCCAGCATCATCTTTGTTAAATTTAGTGGAAAAAGTGCTTGATCTATATGGTCCATTGTTTCTGATCTTACTGTTACTTTTCTCTCTTACTGTTCATGATGTAAGAAAATGAATTCACAATGTTATTTTACAATTCTATAGGTCTACATTTGTCCATATTGAGCTACAGTTGGTTGAAGAGCTATGCCATTAAAAAACTTCATGAATATATTAGAGTGGTTAGTTTAATTCTGCAAGTGAAAATTATTTATGTTGACAATAGATCAAAAATCATGCTTTTCAGGAAACTTTGTTAAATGCCAAATAAAGAAAAGGAAAAGACCTATATCAGAGCCCTTGTCTGTTGGCAAAAGTGAACTTTCATGGCTTCTTGTGGGCATTTTTAACCTAAATACATTCTAAAATGTATATTCCAAAATTCTACAAATATGTGGAAAAGGTAAGCATTGTTCCCAGTCACAGTCTGGTATTATAATCAAGGTTGATTTTTAAATTAACTACATGTATGTTACAATCTATGTTGTTTTTATTTATTTCTTTATTGATATTCTCAGGTTGTTATTTTAACACTACAGTGCAATTCGGACAAGTGCAATATTTTATTCTCTATACTTTGTATATATAATAGAGAAATTTTAAACTGATCCATAAGCTATAATTTATATACTTTAATAGCTAAGTACATTTATAAGTTGTTATTTAGTTAGATGCATTCAGGGTGTGGTGGTGAATATTGCTCTTTTTCAACCAGAAACTAATTTAAGAGTTGTTGTTTACAAATTCAAGACTTTCAGATTTTTTTTGTCTTTTCACAATTTAATATTGGAGATAAAATAAGGTTAAATGCATTGAAGCAATCGTTTATTTCAAGGACATGAGATCACAACAATTTAAAGCTATGTAAAATGTTTGATATTTTTGAATTAGCCTTCAAGTCAATAGTTACTGCAATGGAATATTCAGCTATTGAATCAAATACGTGCAATAGAACCATTTTCTAGTCTTTAAACATTTATATCACAAAACCAAATCATTTACAATACCTACTCAGCATTTCAAATATTATAAAATAAATTTGTGTTTTGATTTAAATATTGGGGCGGTTTTAATAAGGAGACATTTTGTAATTTAGACTCACATAGCTATTTCACTTTTCATTATATTATCATCATGGATTCCAGCTGGCATTTTTGGACATTGTACCTTCCTGATCCAATAAATTATTGCTACCTAATGCATATATTCCACCTTTACAAATTGTAGAATATTGTAACATTGTTGCTTAACAAACCTTCAATTGCAACCAAATTGATTTCAAAATGCAATTTTGTTTTTCAAACCCCTAAAGCTTAAACAAAATCATGATGTATATTCAGATTAGCAATATTAAAACAGAACCTGATCCATGTTGTTACTTAGTAATATTTCAATATAGTTCTACAATGGTTTATTGAGCACAGTGAAAATATTTCCTTTTTTACATTCTCATTAAAATGTTTTTTTTTCATTTGGCTGAAAATCAGTCAATCTCAACCACCCAAATTGACTGCATAAAGTGAATATTGTTCTCATCTATCCATGTGTGAAACGTTCATTCTAAAAAAAAGTAAAACAACCCTTTTAATTTACTATGTACACTATATGTCAGTGCAGTCACAATGACCTTCCCATGTTTTTATTTTTAAGTGGTAGTTTTCCACATACTTTTTTAAATAATTGTAAGAACGTTATTAGAAAACTAGTACAATTATTTTGGATTTCTACATCCAATAATGTATGTCAACGACTGTATTGAATACGCTATTTGAAACACAAGAAACATTACTGGATTGGGGATTTGATTATCTCTAATTATTATTACAAAAGGTTCTTATTATTTAAATGAATTAAATTGAGCCATAACTGTTGTGTTATTGACCATGCATGAGTCTTTTATAATATATACGGTCTTCAGAGAATATCATATATATATTTCAAAATCTTAAAATAGTTGCTTTGTTATTTTTTTGTTACAATTAATTTTAGAAGTTTAACACAATTTAAAGGCCAGATATATGTGCACTGTCTTGTATTTTTAAAACTGTGTTACTATGTCAGCCTGTTCTTAAAACCCTATTCTGTAAATAAACATAACAAATAGCATGATCCCACTACAAATACAAGTTGTGAATTTCCAGTTTTCGTTGCAAAATAAAAATTTGATATATTTTGTTTTAAAATAAAGATTTCAAAATGCTTCAGTTGTTATCAGTTAATCGGCTCACTATTTTTAATGCCAACCCAGTTTTATGTTTTATAACAGAATATATACCTAGTTATTTACAGTTTCCAAAAGTTTCCACGGCTAGACGAATTCGTCTTTAATACAGAATCATCTGGCAATTAAGAAAACCTTAAAATGTAGACAGCTGACAACGGCAAACCATCAAAAAATTAAATTACAGACAACCATCAAACCGTCAAATATATAAAAATATATAGACAACTGATATCGTCAAACCATCAAATATTTGAAGTGCAGACATCTGCCATCGTCAAACCATCAAATATTTAAATAATTTTTTTAAATATAGCAGGTCCAATCCAGGTGAACGTCATTGATGAACGTGGTGTCGATGTTCAAGAAAAAAAATGTTTCTCCCAACTCAGTTTATATGTCACAGAATGTGGAGGATCGCATTTGCCAGTTTGAGAAGACAGACACAATAGAAGGATAAGGTTTCCAGCTGTCGGATATCAACGTTCATCATTTGAACACATGAAATGTATAAGGAGACCATGACCTAGGAAGATGCATATTGCCCTGCTTCACCTGCCTATAGCAATAATATATCAGCGCTCTTAAAAAATTTCTATCGAGTCAATTTAACTCCAAAATTTTCCACTTGTCAATTTAAAAAATTTACGAGCTCACTATGCTTCATAAAACCTTTAGAAATTTTAAGAAATGTTGTTTATGTAAAATCGTTTTTGATGCATGGCAGATGTTGTTCTTTAATTGGTGGATTTTAAAATATCTTTACATGTATTATAGGTAACATGACTGTGGCTTTCGCTATGATTCTTAATGTCGGGGTTCATTTGAGTGTCTAAATATAATACCTACTTTCCACTGCATATTTAAAATCTTACCTTTTTTCATTTAGCTATTTTTCGAATTATACTCTGTTAATCTATTACCTGTTGTCCCAGAAAAGTAATTTCAGATGCGTGCACAATTTCATGGGAAACCAAACGACAACAATTGG